TTATTCTACACACAAGTAGTCTGAGGTTGATATTAAAAGATGCTGGAGTTCATTATTTACAATATCTATGTAGTCTTTGGAGAACAGATTTTCCAACAGTCTGTTTAAATTACCATGGGTAATAGTTTTTTCTCATTATTAGCATTCTTATGAAGCAGAATTATTTCAGAAAACTTCGAAATGAAAAGAATTCTCTTGCTGTAGTATTCAGTTTGTTATTTAGATATAACTATTACATTTCATTAATTAACAATATTCATTTTCGTTCATAGTAATTTGATATATCCAGCTGAATTCGAAATAAAAGACACACTGACATATCTGTTTCGTATTTGGTATACGAGAGAAAGACATTGATAGCCATCTAACAACATACCGGGGATGCTTACTCCTCCATGGCACTTAATCTCATGATGTTTTCAGAGGTTTCCTTTGCTCACAAATTGTATTTTGGTTAGACTTTTCAAAAGTAGCAGACCGACGACAACCTTGATTTGCTCTGGTTTGTTTAAAGACGGGACAGAACATAGGATGTAGAAAAATGAATTTGATGCTAATAAGGCAAGAGTCTAAGGTATGTTTCTCTTTCCTATCACAGTGCTACCGAGAAGTGAGCTTATTTGTTTTGTAGGCACTATTAGGAACGTCGAGAATATGACTTCTGAGATTTAAAATTCACACTCGTGATCTGACAGTGACATAAACATAATATTCCCGTCTGTCAATCCTGTACGTCGTCAGTTTTGTTTTTATTTGATTTCAAGTTTCTGTAATTGTTTACCTAAAACACAGAATAGAAGTAACGATTTGTTTCTTTTTTTTTACAATAAAAGATAGGTCAAGAAAGTTCTGATTGAGAATTTATCGATGTGTAAACTTTTTCTTGAATTTGTTCTCGTCCAATCAAAACACAGGAAATCAATAAATAAAATTAAGATTGGAATTATTCAATATTAATTTCGCCGATATCCGTTTTAGGTCCTCTTTTTTAATTGATCTTAGATGACGTTCATATTTGTTCATTGCAAGTTTGTAACGTAGCACCTGAGCTTGTTTACCTGGTTAATAATTTTATTCACGTTAAGCGGTTCATTCTGTCATTATGATTTAATATTTCTTCTGACCGTCCTTAGGGAACTTGTTGCCTGCATTCTTAAACATGTAAACGTTACGCAGGTAACAAGGATGTGCACTAATAATTAATATTTTTACCACCGCTGTGATAAATTGCTATTATATCCAACTTAAAAAACCCTGTACGATTTTTTGCACTATGTAGGCTTTTTTCTCAATATAAGTCTACTAACCTGAGTTTTCAATGCGCAATAGTTAGTGCAGTATGATTAAATACAGCATAATAACGTTTTTAAAAATATGATCGAACTATCATTTGTCAAATTTAACAGAAAAAATAAAGGATATAATTTAAATGTTTAGAGGACTTTTATTTAATTTGAAAATTTTTATGACGTCGTCATTGTTTGTTTATGACTTTGTGATCAAACGGACACTTTCTAGAATATTAGATTTTATCTATTAACAAAATTCATATTTATTCAGAAGTTGATTCAACATTGCATGTATATTCTACTGTTTCACATTTGGACATATTACTTATGTAGTTATTGATGACAAACTAGCAACTAACAATAAACTTTTAACATTGTTTTTTCAACTTTCTTTATTTATGTAGGCAAAACCATTATCATATGGTGGATACGTCTCTCTACTGATTCGATGTACAAGAGCCTGTTCTTCGAATGAACTATTTCTAATTCAATGTAGGCTACTGATAGATAAGGTGAAATCTCTCTCTCTCTCTCTCTCTCTCTCTCTCTCTCTGTGTGTGTGTGTGTGTGTGTGTGTGTGTGTGTGTGTGTGTGTGTGGTAATATATATATATATATATATATATATATATATATATATATATATATATATATATATATATATATATATATATATATATATATATATATATATATATATATATATATATATATTCACTCAGCTCAGTTCATTGTATTTTTAACCTTGACTTCTTGTATAGAGAGGGTATTTATAGGCATTGTATGCCTGTTGCCCAATCTATTCAGTATTCTGAATAAATATTGTTTAAACCAAGGTGATGTGACAAGGGTATCCATTTACTAGCTGGTCTCTAGTGAATATTTCACCGTTGTATCTCATTACCCACAACTCAGTTTCAAACAAATCTAGTTATTTTCGCATGATGGCAGAGATGGCTTTCGCGCATAATATTTTGAAACAAACCAGAAAAACTCCGAGAGCAGAGTTTGTGGTTTCGGGGACTTTTTTCTATGTTTCATTTTTGTCATCCTTCTCAACATCCACGACGATTGTGATCATACACTGTTCCAGGGAAGAAAATATGATCGCCTCTTTCTTGTACTTTGCGATTTATAACAGGCATTACATTCACACATTCAAAACTATTGAAATCCATACATCCTTCTCTTCTGGGGTCTTTCCTCTTCGTTTGTAGATTTTTTGGGGGGATCAGATCAGTATTCGTATCTCTACCTTATTTCTTTTTTCTCAGAATTATCACGGCGCTTAATCGCTTAATTAAGGCTGACTCTTTTGCCTTAGTTGATTACTCACGGTTGAGGTAGAATTGCTTCTTTTTTCTGAATTTTCATCCATGGATTATGTTTCCACATCACTTTTTTAGAGTTTAAAGTATTAAAGGTTTAAAGTATTATTTTCTCTTCTGAATACGAATCGTTCGTCTCCTTGGAACTGTTACATGTATATGTAATACATACGGAGGGAAAAAAATTAAAAAAGGGGAGATAATCAAGAAAAGACAAAAATAGGGTGGGGTCATTAATAAAATCTTCTTTTCAAGAACCACTGGGCCAGAAAAGCTTAAACTTATGTAGAAGCATTCTGGGGTAGTGTAGATTCTATATTGTTCAAATCATGACCCCCGGGGGTAGGGCGGGGCCACAATAGGGAATCCAAGTTTTACATTGAAATATGTAGTAAAAGTCTTTAAAATTCTTCTTCTCAAGAACCACTGGGCCAGAAAAGCTGAAACTTATGTGGAAGCATCCTGGCGTAGTGTAGATTCTAAATTGTTATGCCCCCCTTCGTTCATTTTCTTCGCAGAGGTTGCACATACTGGAATGAAATTTGGTATACAGATTTATCATAAGAATATCTAGGTCAAGTTCTGTTTTGGGAACGGTCAAGCAATTTCGAACAGAGTTATGCCCCTTGGACTTAGAAAAATTCCAATTATTTGCAGTTTCTGTTCATTTTCTTCGCAGAGGTTGCACATACTGAAATGAAATTTGGAATAGTATACAAATTTATTATAAGAATTTCTAGGCCAAGTTCTGTTCTGGGTACGATCGAGCAATTTCGGACAGAGTTACTGGGCCAGAAAAGCTTAAACTTATGTAGAAGCATCCTGGGGTAGTGTACATTCTAAATTGTTCATATTATGACCCCAGGGGTAGGGCGGGACCACAATAGGGAATCCAAGTTTTACACTGAAATATGTAGAAAAAATCTTTCAAAATCTTCTACTCAAGAACCCCTTGGCCAGAAAAGCTGAAACATAAGTGGAAGCATCCTGGGGTAGTGCAGATTCTAATTGTTCAAATCTTGACCCCTCGGGTTAGGGCGGGGCCACAATAAGTACTACAAGGGGGAGGGGGTGGAAATCAGATGAAAAACAGCAAGGCCAAAGTTACTCAGGTGAGCGTCGTGGCCCATGGGCCTCTTGTTTATATGTCGGAGTGTCTTTTTTTCTTGTTTCAAGTTCATGACGATAAGTTCTGTAATTGGTGACTATGACGCAGTACAAAAATCTAGGGCTATGATAGTATGGGAATGTGTAGTGTGTGGATATCATCCATTCAAAGTGTAAATGATTATTACGTATACATTCACATAAAATCACATAAAATAATTATTGTATAAAGATAACGAACAGTAACCATGCTCAAAAATCCATTGAAACAGATCAAATTGTGAGCAGAGCAAACACGAATCTCTAAAACATCAGAGGTGGGATCAGGTGCCATGGAGGAGTAAGTATCCCTTGTCAAGCGGTAACACCCGCCGTGTGCCCTCTATCATATGTATTATGGTGTGATTATTGTAGACATACGCGCATAATTATGGAATAAAAACAAAAAGACATTTCTAAGTTCATATTGTTTTAAACTGAATAAATAAACTAGTAAATAAGACCTTGATACAGTATTTGGAACTTTACATGTCAACTGTTATAAACAATTTTATAAAGAAGTATCCACATGCAAACTGACTATTCAATCAAGGAGGATATGATTAGTCCTCAGGTAAAAAATAAACATGTTCATACAATTTTAAAGTCAAACAATAACAGACATGAACAATTCTTATGGAATTAGAATGTACTCAACTGTAGTTGCTTCTTGATTCATTAATTTGTGATTAAATACATTATTTGCAAAGGTAGATAATTAGAAAAAATGAATCTTAGTAAAACATTAGAAAATATGGAATTCAGGGGGGAAACCTAGCTCAAAGAAAAAAAAAACACTTGACAGCACTTGAGTCTGAGATGGAATGGACACTTATGCTTTTATTTACATAACTATCTTTAAAACTTTATTACATATTTACTTTGTTAATTTTATATAATTACTATTCAACATATAATCACTACTCAACGTTTTCTTAACATTTGTATAATATTGCATAAATGGAATTCATGCTGTCTTTATATATGCATGTACATTAGATCACATTGAATCCTCTCTGATTTCCCATATCTGACATTAAATCAAAATACCTGTAGTTTGATTAAATTAGTTTTAAACAAACTAAACTGTATACTATTTCATTGATGACGATGATAAATTTGTCAATAAAAACTTTGACTTAGGAGGCTAGTAACTGCTATACTTGATACCTACACATAGAAATTTGATATCAATCAATTTTAACAAACTTAACACATAGCTTTAACGACATGGTGTATAAAATCTTTTTGTAAAGCTTGAACATTGCTTAACAATCTTGCCTTCTTTTGTTTCTCCAGCAATGTGAGGGTCAAAATACAGCATTGCATAAATCGGACTCGATGAATTCTTGAAAAAAAGGAAAAAAAACATTAGTAGTAGAAGCAGTATTTATAAATTGCAAATTCTCCTTAGGCATAAGTAACGCCTGTTTTGTAAAAAAGGAAACAACAACCAAACTAATGGAAAATACTCTATTATTCTGTATCAAAATCGCAAAATTAAGCAGATTTCTCATTTCAATTTTGTACTTTTTGCATTAAATAGCAAGAAGAGGTTACTCAGTAATTTTCCAACTTATCAAATTGAGGAGAGTATTTTCTGATTAAGTAATCTAAAACATAAAAATGTAATTTTGTCATTTTTGTGGGAATATACAACAATTTATAATTATCAAGTTACCTTCATAGTCTATCTTTCCATCTCCATCTGCATCTATTTCTTTAAAGAATTCCTCTATTTCCTCTGTGGTTATATCCTGGTTTTTGTGACATAAGACTACTTTGAGTTCCTTTAACGTCACATAGCCATCATTGTCTTTATCTATGTAACTGAATGCCGCTTTCATTCGTTCTCGTTCTAGATCCACCTCTTTATAATTCTCTCTCATTATGTTGAGGTATTCTTTAAAACTGATAAAACCATCGCCTAAAGAGAAAAAAGTACATCCGTTAATATCAACAAATATGTCGAAACCTCAAGAAATATTTGTTCCAAAATGAAATGATAAAAAGATTAAACAATGGCACAGCAAGCGGAGTATATTTTCGCAAGATACCACATCGATTTTACTTATGTAACTTTCGTAACGCACACTCACTCACACACCTACCCACCAAATTCTATGCTAGGAGATAGTGAAAAATACAATATTTGTGCTTTTTGAAGAAAAAAAATGAAGTCATAAATGTTTTTTTTCTTTTTTCATTACATACAGTTTGTACGCATTCGAATAAAATTAAAAATCCCAAAGTGGGAATAACTGTGTAATATTGCATAGTCAATTTTTTTTTCATATTTTATTTAATTTATCAACAGAGAAAAAAAGAATCAATGAATAGTATAGTTAATGATTAAGAAAGGTTTAATTTATATATATTATTGCATCTATTAACATATATCATCACTATTCTAGACATAGTATAAAACCTTTAGGCTTTAAGAATTAACAATATTGTTTTTATGGACAAAACGTAAACAGAAATCATTTCAGTGACAATGATAAAGGTAAGGAGAACCAAGAAGATCAACTCCTTTCTTTACGGCTCTAAAACGAAATGTCCTTACCGTTTTTCCGCCATGCGGACTTCTTCCATTAAGATTGCAGGGATAATATTGATTTTTATTTGTTTATTAAGGCTTTTATTTAATTATCTACATTATTTTGTGTACAGCGTTTTAGACTATGATTAGTTGGCGATTTATTCAATTCTGGTTTAGAAGTTTTTACACTCTAATCATTAACACCTGTGTTTGTAATTTCCATAAGTATTACAATCAAACGGCCTACATTACAGGTAATGTTGTCAATGTCATTGTGACAAATTTATAAGTAACTGTCGACAATGTAGCTAATCTCATTTAATGTGGCTTAATGCGCCCAATTAAATACGTCATTTTAGAGACGTGTTGTATACAAATTAAGTCACTTGCTTTGATTTTATCTTAGGATATGAGTTTACATATTTGTAAGCAATATGATTTATGTAGTCTTATATGTCAGATTAAAATCGATTAATTACATAAGTTTAAATTTTACTATCTGAAGACCTGTCTTGATTCAAAATGTTTTGTTTTTTTTTTTTATCACTAATACAACATTGATATGTTGATAAACAAATTGTACATTCTCAGTTCTGAGACACATAAATGTTGGGTTTTCCTTTATTTTAATAATTTGATGAATTGGCAAAATTTGCATAATATTTATCCAAAACGTAAATCATTCAGTGGAGTGTCCATTTGTTTAATGATAATAATTATGTTAATTTTATTAACCACAGAACACCGACAAGAGTTAGTCTCGTTTGGTTTTGATTTATTGAGGTATTTTTCTCTAGATCTCTCTTTCTTTTCCTCTAGATCTCTCTTTCTCAGATTAAACATAAATATCAGATTGATTTTAAAAAAAAAATCAATTTTTGTATACCCAAAGTCCTTTAATAAAAAGACTTCTTTTGATAAAGATCTAATGGTCTCTTAGATCAAATACACTTACGACCAAATAAATATTACTCCTAGCGGATTCATATGTTTACCTCGCTGTTGTATATTTCTATTAATAGATAGGCTGATATTGACCTGTCTGTTGTGTACAATAACTAATATTTTATTTGTGAATTCGAATCATGGACAAGCTGATATGTTGACCTCCCTGTTGTATATATATATTTTATTTGTGACTCATTTCATAGATGAACTGATATGTTGACCGCGCTGTTGTTTTATCAGTAAAATCATTTCATTGATAAGCTATTTAGTTTATCTTGTTGTGGTATAACTTCTCACCGTCTTTGTCCACGTCTTTCATCATATTGTTGACGTCTTTCTCGGTTGGGTTCATACCAAGGATTGCTGCAGCCTTCATCAACTCCCGCTTTGACAATCTCCCGTCTCCATTCAGGTCTATCTTATTAAAAGATTCCTTTATTTCTGGTAAATTATTTAAGAAATTATAAATAAAGAAATGTACGATTTGCTTTGATAGATGGATGAATAAATTTGAGAAATGGCGATTCTCCTGATGATATAGAGGATATTTATTGTTTTGTAGTTGGATATGCAAAGCAGGAGTGAAAATATAAAATGAATCCTGTCTCGCAAGTGAAATAAATTCCATATCTAACTTAAAAACATTGAATTTTCTGTTTATTACATTTTCTTTGATTTTACCTTTGTCTCTTCCTTTTCTTAACACAGAGTCATAGGAAGTGACGTCATAATTGAGCTGTTGAGACGTCATATAGCTTAGCAGTTGTGAGATTGAAAACATAGTAACATGGAATTTAGCAACATATTTGGGAAAAATGGCAGTTTAGTCTCTATCTAGACGGTTTAATTACTATCTCTATCTAATGACTGGCCGAAAATTATTTTTTACTTACTTTGATATCCTTTCACACTGTGAAAGAATATCATTTTGGTATCCTTTCACACTGTGAGAGAATATCACTTTTATTCAATAAATAAATCACAGTATTTCACTGTTGAATAATCATTATTATTTCTTTTTTTTCCCCTTATTGTTTTCTACGTGTGTGCACTTCGAAAATCTTTTTTCACTTTAATTGATCATTAAAATGCTATTCACACGAACAAGAGATTGATATTATATACTTGATTACCGGTTAAACTTTGACATAAATGAATTGTTTGAACATGATGTTTGACATGTTTTTCCTCCATATAGAAATGTCCCATGTGTCTTAATGTGTTTAGACGTTAAAACAGCTTTGTGTCATTAGCATTACTGCTTTGTTTTCCTTGTAACAGGATTGGAATTATGTATTGTTTATATTTAATTTTTTTTAAAGTTTTCCTTAATTTAACATGATTTCATAGAATTTCCATTTCATCGAATTTCTGGATTTTAAAAAGCACCATATTCTATAAATGTATTATAACTGTTACTAATTTCTGAGAATTTGTAAAAATTATTTTTGCTGAAAAGAACACATGCGGGGCAATAAATGTACACTGCGTAGGTATGTACTTAATCAAAAGACATGAAATGACCCAATTTTAAAAGACATATTAGTTGATATAACACGATGTTTTATTTATGAAGCGTAGACGAGGAATCGTTAAACCCAGCGTAACCACTAACAAACGAAGAAAGACATTTTATTGTTTATATTTATATCTGTATAAAAAAATATTTAAAGTAAAATTAGTTGCGTTGTATGCATAATTGATGGAAGAGCCGTTTTTCAAGAAATCTTTGCGGTGACATGCTAAGTTGCGTTTACTGACTGATATATGGCAATGGTTTCCATAAGAAATAAAGGAAATAATATCAAGTGGATGTAAAAATATAACCATAAGTATTACCCCACTACGTCATACAGTGCTTATTTAAAATTGTATGGATACTTTGTTTAACGCACCCGGCACTATCTACATCTTTGTACTTGAACTATTTCATTTGTACAATGTATTGTTTTCAGATGAAACTAATAAAATACAACAGTTTAAAAAAAATTAGCAACGACCCTGTCAATTGACTTCTTCTTTTATAGGTATTAATAGTTTGTACTTACCCTCAAACTGTTTATCAGTAAGATCGTTGGGTATGACGACTGTTTCATGTGGTGTTATCTGACTCGTCCGCCTGGCCATCACTATTTTCGGTTAGAAAATAGTCACATAGAACTTATTGCCTTGCAGAAATCCAAGAAAAATTAGAGTAATGATAAATCAGCAACGTCTGAAGAGTGCTTCCCAGCTCAATGCAAAACTCTAATATGGTGCTATCATTTACATTCCTTTCAAAACGATGGATTCTCTTTAGAGTTCAGTCAAGATCTAGAAATGATAAACACAGTTTTAGCTTTAGATTATTGCTCTTTTATCTTTCGATCATTATTGGAAATTCCCATATCCTCACACTATATCGGGTAACTGGTTATGCTGTGCGTATTTTATTTTTTTACCCTGTAGTATTCTTATTAATCGATTTATGAGACTATTTCTGGAAAATTATTGATTTTTCGTCATTTTTACAGTTCAAAAACAGATTCTTTTTTATAACTACTATTCACTTTTCCCTTTTGAATTTTCTTGACTAATAATGACTTTATTTTGTATCTGATAAAGTGAAAGAAGCGACTAATTAAGGAATTTTTTTCATTTGTATGCCATAAAAATGTGGGGAAATTGACTTAAAGAAGCCCTTTCTTTCTAACATATTTCAAAACTTTAAGACTAAGTTTTTTATATTTTAGCTTTATTTATGCAAAAAGTAAGTAATATTTATTTATTTTTTTATTAATCTAACGAACAAGGGGAACAAAAGCTTTATTTTCCATAAAAAAAAATCTCTCTTACCTTAACTATGTAAAAATCAACATAAAATTCTTTCAGAATACATTCACACACTCGTATGTCGTTCGAAGTTTGAATTTCAATAATTTGCTTCACTCTTTTCTTTTTTCTGAATATTAATCTACAATTATTTTGATAAGGCCGGGCATATATTTAAATACTTCCAAGATTATCAGCTTAATTTATAACTCTTTAAGAGATTATTATTTTAGGTTTTTATTTAGTAATGTGTTAATGTTTGTTAGTAAGATAACCATGCGTAAGAAATCCGCTAATGCTTTACACTGTCACATATAACACTATAATTATTGGCGTGGCCTAGAAAACGTCCCCCCTTTTTAAGTCGTTTTGTCTTTATCAAGTAGGCGCAGTTGACATTGTTGACATTTTCTTGTGCAGCTGTGTGGAGTAATATGAACTTTTCTGTTTCCCCCGACTGAAAAAAATTATAATGATACTCTTAAGTCTGTTATTTAATGACGAGTATTTTTCCCATCAATACAATTTTAGCAAACAAATGTTACTCAGGTGTTAATTTTTATCTTTTTTTATAAAGCTTCAAAAGCTGTTTGAAACACACATGCTGTTCCCAGTATAATTAGGATTGGTCTTTTTTTTTCATGAAATTGTCATATCAGTAAGAAACTGAAGTATTTTAAGATGCGCGTTCAAATTATTTTATTTTTTGCTTGTCAGCAGGTCTTTCAAATTTTCAAAGTACAAGGTTTATATATTTTATAAATGGCAAATGATTCATCATTTGTTTGGGAATCCTATTTTTCAAATTCTCAGGTGAAAAATTTTAAATGCTTGATTTTTTTAAAAGTTCGACCAAGTTTGAAAAAAACAAACAAATCTGAATAAAGAAGTTTTATTTTGAATGTGTAGCTTTTACTAAGGAGGAGAGGTTTGCTTTGGAAAAAAAATTGTTTGTTTGTTTGTATGTTGTTTAACGTCCCTCTCGAGAATTTTTCACTCATATGGAGACGCCACCACTTGCCGGTGGAGAGCTGCAAATTTTGTCCTATACTCGGCACTTACGGCCATTGAGCAGTGAGGGATCTTTTTCGTGCCAGCACCTACTGTGACACGGGACCTCGGTTTATACGGTCTCATCCGAAGGACCGGTCTCCACGTCTCACAGTGGGATTCGAGCCCGCGACGTAAGGATCAACTCCTTACTTCGCGACTCTAGAGCAGACGCTCTATCCACTGCGCCACGAGGGCGACTGGGAAAAAAAATGAACTTATTTTAGATAGTATCCCCAATTCACCTGAAAAGTATTCAAAAGATCACTTTTTTCATCGTTTATTTATTCGAATATATTCTTTGTTTATTTTTTTTTACCTCAGCAGTTTCCTTCTATAAGAAATACGTCGACCTAGTAAAAATTTAAAGTAGTTTCCTTGTTTATTCCCCCTATATCATAAATTTTCACTTTTTATTTGGATGAATCGATTTCTCTTTAGTTTGTTTTTTAAATTTATTTTGATATATGGATAAAAATTTTGTCTGTGGTTGGCTGACATTTGAATGTTCAGGGCGAGAAAACAAACAATCGCTGATTAAATCTAAATTAATAATGTAATACATTCAATTTATACGGATCATAAATAGAACAAAATTATTTCTTAGTATTAAAGTTAATTATTTCAGTTGATTTTGTGTGTATTGGTTTTTGTAATAAAAAAAGTAACCAAATTAGTTTGAAGTTAAACACAGAGAAAATCAAGCTTAATACAAAATACGTGCATACATTTTTGAAATCCAAAAATTAGAAATTCAGGTGCGAGATATTTTTAAAAACTGTTTTTAATTAAAAAAAAAATCTTCTCCTTGATTCTACTCGTTTACAAATATGTTATCCAATTAATATTAGTTATTATTGGGAATAATTTAAACGAAATTAAAGAAAAAATTCTAATAAGACCAGTAAGTTTGTATATGAATTAAATTTATAAATAAATTAATTAATTGTCTCGATTTTTTTTAAATAGAAGTAAACAATCATACATATGTAGCTATTCAAATAAGAAATGGATAAGAAAAATGATTAAATTTAGCAAAAGAGGAAAATAAAAAAAATTGCTCTATTCTACTAAATTATGAATATTTATAAGTACCTCTAATGATATTCAAACTTTGAATGTAAGAAAAATAAGGTCAGACAGTTGAATTTTAAAAAACAAAAGGGGGAAAGGGACTTACCTTTTGTACTTTAAGAGAATTTTCAAGTCCTTTCAATTCCTTAATTTAAGCATTAAACATTCTATTTCACTTCTCTATCTTTAAATATCATCATGAAATGAAATAATACCCAGGAATCTCGGACTAGACTGAGCGTCAATTGGTCTGGACTTAACATAGTCTGAAGAAATCATGCGGAATACGGATTACACCATGTTTGATAATACTCTGTGAGGTCTAGAATTTACAATAATTGCTGTTAAAATGTCTGGTAGACTCTTCATATATTTCAAACATACTCCAAGACTGTTTGTCCGGGTGTGATTGCATTTTAAAGAGTGAATATTTGATTCACAGTCTGTTTTATAAGAATCAGATCATGTTGTCATTTGACCTCAGAGTTTGATGTTGGACAATAAATTTAGCAGGAGAATTACAGTATCCTTGATATTTTGGATAAATGTTAATCAAGATCTTAATATCCATCTAGTGAAGTTCAGTAGGCCTACATACAAGACATATGTGAGATACAGATAACGATGACCTTCAAGATATAAAATGTTGATGAATAGAGGTCATAATACAATGCAATGAGCAAAAGAAGATTGATTGATTGATTGTTTGCATGTAGTTTTACGTCCCATTCGAGAATTTTTCACTCATATAGAGACGTCACCATATACCGGTGAAGGGCTACAAATTTAGACCTTTACTCGGCACTCAGGGCCATTGAGCTGTGAGGGTTCTTTATCGTGCCAACGCCTACCGCGACACGGGGTCTCGGTTTTTAAGGTCTCATCAGAAGGACCCGCAACTTTCACTTCACAGTGCCGAGCAACAGTGGCTACCTATATTTTTTTTTTATCGACTTAGGTCAGTCGCGGCCGAGATGCGAACTCACGACCTTCCGATCACGGAGCGAGCGCTCTACCGACTGAGCTACCGTGACGGTAGCAAAAGAAGAAGAGCTAAGATAAATGTTGATAGGTAACATAATCAACGCATCTAAAGGGTACAAAAAAGTGGTAAATACAATTGTTGTAAAATATCTATCTTAAAACCTAAAGAAGCACGATTTTACAAGAAAATCCAGTGGAAAAAGAAAACACTTATTAAAATGATTTTCAGAATTGCGCATAACTTTGAGCTCTTACTTTGCAGGAGGAGGGGGACGTCTAGATCTGCACTTATTTTCAAGTATAATATCACCTGAAATTGTAGCTTCAGAAGAATTATGTTTGTGGGTTTTATAAAATTTCTTAGTTATTACTTTCTACGATGATGTTCATGAAAATCTGAAGACAAAGAATAGTGATTAACCTTAAAATTGTATTATAATAATACTTAATAGACAGCAAGGCAATCATAAACCGCTGGAAATACCAGATGTGGGATCAGTTGCCATGGATAAGTGAACATTTCGACAGATCGAACGCATCCGACTGATTCTTTTATCTTGAACATGTTAAAAGAAATAATCCTTGAATGAAAATCCTCTGTTAAAGTAAGAATGGCCCATTTTTACAAACAAAGTCATTAAAACGAGCACAGAATTTGCGAAATATTAATTTTAAATGAAAATGAGGACACCCCTGTATTCTCATCTTATTTGTCATTATCCTGCGTTGGTTTAAAAAGTGATGTGGGAGAAAAAAATCACAATATGTAGTGAAACTGAAAATGTATTGCTAAATGAACAAGAAACATGACAATTTTTTTAAAGAAAAAAATCGTTCATTTTTTTCTTTGTGTCAAATATATAAATTTACGTTTATATACAGTGGCGTAATCGGAAGTACGTTGGACTGGCCATCTCAGGGCAGTGAGTTTGATCCCCGGCATAGGCGCTGTCGAATTTTTTCAGAAAAAGAAACCGTGCACTATTTCGGCATAGTATGCTTACGCTATATAAATCCTGAGAACACTATGCGAAAATAGCTGGGTAATGATTATATAGAGACAAACTGACAGGAAGCATAATAATTTATATTATTACATTTTCAATAGTGAAATACTGTGATCTATTTATTGAATAAAAGTGATATTCTGTCACAGTCTGAAGGATACAAAAGTGATATTCTGTCATTGTGTGAAAGGATATCAAAGTAAGTAAAATGATTTCTGGCCTGTCATTAGATAGAGAGAGTAACTAAACCATATTGATAGAGACTAAAACTGCCAATATCTTCCTAAATATGTTGCTAAAATCCATGATACAATGTTTTCAATCTCACAATTGCTAAGCTATGAAGTCTCAACCGCTTTACTATGACGTCACAGCCTATGAAACTGCATGTGTTATGAAAAGACAGAGGCAAAGAGAAATCAAAGAAAATATAATGAACAGAAAATCTTATGTTTTGTAGTTCGATATAGAATTGATTTCACTAGTGAGACAGGATTTTTTTTGGCTTCGCACTCGTGAAAATATATTTAAAAAAATCCTGTCTCACTAATGAAATTAATTCCATATTTAACTACAAAACATTGAATATCTTCTATTAATTGCAGTGCTTTATTCCCCCTCCCCCACCCCATTCTAAGTAAACTTAATATAATTAGAGGTTCTACCTGCTTGTATGTAGATCAGAATGAATTTTGATAAGGTTATTTTGTATGACCATGATATGAAAACTTCCGAGTTTCATTTTTATTAAAGAAACAGTTGTCTATGATTTCTCTAAATTAATTTATCGTAAGGAATGTTTGTATAAAGGTTTGAAAAAGTCATGTTTTGATGATGTTGGTTTTTGAAAACATTGCAATTTCATTTATTTAAACGTTCCTTGGAGTTTTCGAGAATTACATCTGATTTACGCAACGTCTTGAATTGTCACAGCAAAATGCTCTTACGTTTTTTTTCTTTTATAGAAGTTAATATATTTGTGAGGAATAAAGATGGGGCTTAATAAAATACTTACTTGATCTTGTTATATATCTTTGTAATGATTTGTATGAAGACTTTAAAACCAGTTTCGGTAAAATTCACTTCCGTAGACTAATAAGTATAAGTATTTAAAACTGAAAAGTGATTTTGAAGAATTTCATCCTTTGAAAGGGAACTGTTAGCATAGGTTAGATAGATAACCATTTCTGGAATTAAAGTCCAGTTCTTCTAAAAGGCATTATTAGTATTTAGCCTTATAAAAGAAGAAAATGTTGTTAAAAGCTTTATAAGCTGAAACCATTCTATATTGTTCCTATAGTTTTTTTAGTACCAGTCTACATAAAGCGGAAGGATTGGTGATACCCATTGGCCTTTCATTTGTCCAATACGATACTTTTGATATACATCTTAAACTCGTTATCCATTCTGACAAAGTGTCGAGGTCTTTCCCTTTATATTTGGCCCATCGTCTGGCATATTCCTTGAGTTGTAATTGAGAATAGAAATAAGTTTAATGTTTTTGATTTTGGTAAAATTTTGTGATTTCAAATTTTCCAAAAGTTCTTTGGAGTGTCCACATCTGATTTACACTACTTCTCAAATATATTGTTGTACAATACTCCTGAAGTTTCTCCTTCACTACTGTTAATATTCTAGAAAGGAGTAAAGAAAGAGGTTTGGTAGAACATTTAGTGAAACCGTTATGTATCTTTGTTTGTTAGGATGGGACATAATGTTATCACCCCCTCAATTATGGTTGTCCACATCTCACCTCGCAGTTTTACAAGTATTGTATGCATCATTTTCTATTTTGTACAAACACGATGTTGAAAATCGATTTGATTTGAGTATTTATAAGCTGATATATGACTTAATATTTAACACAGTCACTGCCAAATCTGCTTCATACTTGGACGTTAATAGCCAACGAACGACTAAAATATATGACGTAAGCTTTTCCATCGTCAACTTCCCCAAATCTATGTAATAATATTCCACAAGCATATGGTGTTTATGTCTCCAAACTGATTCGCTTCTCATGAGCATGTTCTGAGAACGAACAATTTTTAAACAAAGGGAGGTTAAGTTTATGTTACAGTGTTTTCAACTAATTCGTTTGAAGTCAGCATTTTTCAAATTGAATGGTCGTTTGAATGACCTTTTTTGCGACTTTATCGTAAGTTGTATTTTGACTGACATATTTGTTCCCACTTCTCATGCTATTGTTTTTATATTATTTTAACATCGGATTACTCCGTTTACCTTATCAATACAGAGGGATCACGTGCACAGCGAATGTAATCGATCGACAAGGGAGGTATACTCCTCCTAGACACCTCAGAGGTTTCCTGGGGTCAATGTTTTTGCCCTGTTAACAATTCGTATTCCTTACTGAATTTAAATGAAAAAGGTGAGGATAAGAAACAATGATCGATCTCAAAAAAATCTTCAAACAATACAAATATGTGAACATGGCATAAGACGGAATATGCCACAGTCAAATTCAGTTAAAAAAAAACAAAGGCCTAAAATTCGTATGAAACAAGTCAGTCAAAAGGCACCCAATGATAAGGTATATTTGCTAACAACCGACCATAGAATTTATGAAATGCTGACTTTAAAAAAGGTTGTTGGAAATCCTGTAACATCAACTTAACTATCAGTTATCTGCATCGGTTCAAAAATCGATTGTACTCAAATCATGGTCTTGAGTGTCGAATAAGTTGAGAGATGTAAACAGCATATGCAGGTGATAGCGGAATATTACTAAACAAATACGTCAAGTTGACGATGGAAAAGCTGAATTCACCTTATTTGTCACAGAGTGTAGTTGGTAGTAGGCTTCTATCGTCTATAGTCAGTAAAACACCCAAATATGAAACACATGTGGCAGACTCTGTGTTTCCTTTTATTTCGAGTTCACTGGCATATATGGAGTCGACATATGAATGAAAGTAAATATTGATAGTTGACAAAATGTAGCCGATATATCTGAATGTAGATAGAAGGTAACAGCAAGTGTTTTCTACTTTTTATGTAGCAGTTTTTGATTGAATTGGGCTACAGAGAAACATAAAAATAGGTTTTCTAATAAAGGATCATAATTAGTGTCCATTGACATTCCGACAGTTCGTTGGAAGACCTGGTCTCCGAAGACTAGATAAATGTTGTCAATGAGGAACTCTAGCATCCTTTTAAAATGAACTTCAGAGTACTTGTGTTTAACTTTGTTAATGACCTATCACAAGATTTGAAAATTTCTGAGCTCCGTTGTTCCGTTGTCTAGTTTTTTTTCCATTTATCGGGAGAAATGGCTGTGAAAAGTGTAAAAAAAAAAAAAAAAAAAAAAAAAAAGAAAGAAAAGAAAAGTCGTACGTCTTGATGTTGATACTGAGTTTTTGAAAAAAATTGTGATTTTAAATTTCTTTGGAGCTTTTGAGAATCCACATCTAATTTTCATCACTTTTAGAATATGCCGTAGTACGTGTGACGTTTCTCCTGAGCAGCAGTTAATATTTTTGCGAGGAGTAAAGGCAGGGTCTTGAAAGAGCTTTGCATGACCTGGCAATGTATTTCTATTCGAAAGGATTTTTTTGAAGTTGAGTAATATGGTATAGGTAGGTAGATCAAACTACTCACCTTGGTTGACTGGAATGTTAAATGTATTAAACACTGAATGTGATTTTCAAGAATTTCGTTTTTAGAAAATGAATTGTGAGTACAATTTGGATTTCCAGACAGAATTAAAACCAAGTTCTTCAAATATAAAGTTATAAGAATGAGCCTTACAAACAAGGACGATATTATTACAAACCTTGTCGGCTGGCCCCATGACATGTTGTCTTTCTAATTCTTTTATTACCTCCAATTTAGTGAAAATGGTTGGATAAATGGCTCGAATATTGCCTTTTGACTTTCTAACACGATTCTTGAATATATTTTTAAAACATTTAAAAACATTTTTATGAGGGGGACCGACCCTCTGATAAGGGAGATAACTTTCCATATAAATATTCTTATTATTACTCATAGTTTACCTCACCAGAGTTTAATAACTGAGACCTTTGATTAGTCAACCTGGAAACATTAACTTCTATTCACTATTGCCTATACTTTTCAAATTGTTTTATTATATTAAATCCAGTTTTCAAACGTTTACAAATTGGTTTAGTTCTTCCTTTTAATGGACCATTTTAAAAATGCGTTATGTGTAGAATTTTTATTCGTGTTACATTTTGTTTTCAATTAAAAAAATATTTATATGAAAGATAACTTGCTAATGGACTTACTCTTTTCTTACAAGCACATATATTATTGTGATATTCTGACTTTGGAAGCAGCGTTTTAATTTGTTTTCTAATATGAATTTAATAGGTATGACTTTAAATATTATTTTCATATACACCTCATATTCTAAATTTTATGTTGTGATAATAAACTATTACTCTTCCTATTCTCTGTATTAAAATTTATTTCATGAAATATATGGAGATAACGAACAGTTTTCACGCTCAAAAGACCATTCAAACTATACAAATCAGGAGCAGAGCAACATGGACCTCTAAAACATCAGAGGTGCGATCAGATGCCATGATGGAGTAAGCACTCCCTGCCAAAAGGTCACACCCGCCGTGTGCTCCTTGTCATGTTCGGGAAATAACGGAAAAAATCAATCGACTATTCAATGTGTAAATAAGGGCCTAACAATTAGCATGAAAAACGTCAGTCAGCATTTGACTTAATGATAGATTGTGTTTGCTGACAAGATCATTGTATCGACAATAGAACTGACTAAAAGATGACTTTAAACGAGACTGTTGATAATCTTGTTTTATCAACTTGTTTGTCAATTGTTACCTCGTTTTAGAAATTGTTCATACGTAGAGCATACTCTTGCGTATCGAACCAACTGAGAGATATAAACCACATATGCATGTGATGAGGGTATATTGCTGCATAAGTAAGGTAAGATGACGATTGAAAAGTTAAAGTCATCACGTTTATCGTAAAGCTTTGTTGTTAGATTACCATATCATGATCTGACATAAACATTCTTCCTAAAAAAATATATACAGCGCTTCATAACTCATACTATTTTTCATTTGAATCTTATGCTATAGCTCTTGATGAATATCAATGTTGGGAAGTTTATAAAAAGTTTGTGAAATTTAGAGCACAGGCTCATTAGTCCTTAATCCATACCGATACAGTGTTCAAACCTTCCACTTTATATCTAGTCCTACGTCTGGCATTATCTTCGAAAGAAATCATAATAGATAATATTAATATATGAATCCGATAACTGTTCGTTATTTTATCCTTTTATACCATGTATAATTAGCAAAAATGGAACAACCATTAAGAGTACCATTAATCAACACATGAATAATTTTATAGCGTCATTATCAATATAGATTCATACATTCCTCCATTCTACCATTATCAAACATTCTAAAACAATTCCCGAAGCAATACTTATCCCCTTTTTTAGAATACATTTATATTTAAAAAGTCGTAATACGATATTTAAAGTCTCACAGTGCTTCAGGTTCAAATTTTAAGCGCATTACAGTTTAATCTTGAAGGTTTCTGTAAGGCATAATTCTTTCGTAAGACCTATATATTATTAGGAACTGTAAGCTACTAAAGATCAAAGTTGATTATGGAACCTCCTTGACCCGTTTTGAGTGGCACTTAGAAGAATTCAACAGATCATAAACAAACACCTGTGATTATGTTAAAATCTTTTTAAAATAACAATAATCTTAAATAATATAAAAAGATTACAGAAAGGTTAAAATTGTTTAAATTTCCAAATCTGCACAGTTGTTACTGCTTTCACTTTTAGCATCAAATATGGAGATAACAAACAGTAGTCAAGATCGAAAGGCCATATGAAAAATATAAATCAGGAGCAGAGCAAACACAAACTTCTTAAAACATCAGAGGTGCAATCAGCTGCAATGGTGGAGTACGCATTCCCTGTCAACAGGTCACACCCGCCGTGTGCTCCTTGTCATGATCGGGAAAACGGTAAAATCCGTACACAATTCAATGTGTACATAATGGTCCAACAATAAGCATGAAAAACGTCAGTCAGCATTCGACTTAATGATTGTATATGCTGAGAAGGTCATTGTATCGACCATAGAACTTGCGAAATTACGAACATTTTGCTTCAGAAATCACGGAGTGCAAGCTAGTCTATATAAACACAATGAATGTACTCAAATGCGCTGTGTTTCCCAAAGCAAAAAAAAAATCTTAAATTTTGTAAAAATACAGCAAATATTATCGCTCTTAAATTTAGCTGTCACAAACTATCACAGCTTTAAATGCATGATTTTTTGGAACTTCAAATGTTTTTGATAATATTTGACCTTGCTATACATTGTTCTTTTGTTTCTAAAACATAAAAGTATTTCAAATTTTAATTTCCGAGACATTTTTTGGCCAATTTCGAGTTCATGAAGGGCTATTATAATGGATCATCATTGTTCATGGGGGAATAATGATCGTGGATTTCGTGGGTCACCAATTGTCATCCCAGTGAACGATATCGTTGTCAACAGATAGGTGATTGTATCTCCCATATATACGATTTACGAGTTACCCACGAAACGTCCCCTTGAATCAGTAAAATGTTTGTTACCGACAAACTTTGACCCAAACGAATTTAAATTTTTTCCACTGTATTTACATGTAGTATCCCGGACTCTGAACTGTATCTCTGTTAAGTATATTTACATGTACTGTATGAACAACATATTAAAAAAAAAAAAGAACACCGAAAAAAAGGACATAGAAAAAAGAAGCTAAGCTAAGTTCATTGAGATGATGACAAATGACAAAAATCGGTAAAGAAAAATTGGAAATGGATCGGACAAGTAACAAAGAAATGAGGTGTCTGTCCCTTTTTAATATGATATTGTTGTTATTTCATAGTTTATGCAATTTCTGGGGCATGGACACACACATGCAAAAACAGTAACAAAAAGTATTTATGATAAGAAAAACATATAAATTATTCAACATATTGATGTATTCCTTCAGAAAATATGTAGGCATAGAACCTATCTGTTTACACGACAATGGCTGACTCAGAGTCCGGTTATCCGGCACATTAATCCTACAAATCCTCGGGACTGGACAATCGGACTCCAATGCGTATTAAAGAAACAAAAGAGTTTTGTTTTGTATAACTCTTAATCGTCATTACGTGGAATTTATTCGTATATCTTCCTAAGCACTTAATGACACAGTTTGTACATGTAATATTTGGGTCACATGTGTTAACAGATTTTCTTTGAAGTATAAATTGATGTAACTGTATCAAATAGCAAAGTCAGGAAGACAACTTTTTTTCAAGGATCATTTTGTTGCATAACATCGTTGGCCATAAAAAGAAAAATTTTGTTTCTTGTCTTATAGTTATTTCTCTCATGTAAGAAAATCTTTTTCTCTTATTTCAGATAGTGTAAAATGGTAGTGCGGGCTCTGGAAAGACCCACAGATTCTGATTAGATAACTTAAATTTTATTTAAGCCTTGTTGAGATGTGAAGCATTTCTTTTCCGTTGATAATGAATTGGTCGGTCCTCGCCACTCAACTTCGACAAAAGCTTTATCCATCTCTTTTCTCCCATTCCAGAAAGTTCAGAATACTTTGGTGCACAGAGATGAATTCACGAAGTCTTCATATGAAATCAAAAATACGAATATGATATATTAGTTTACCTTTCGGTGTTATATTTGATAATTGTTTAGTGAACTTCATTTAAAAGAGGCTTTGATTTAGTGTTAATGATTAAAAAATATCGTCGTGTAAAATAGCATAATGTCCCTTACCTGTAAAGTTTATGAACCCTTGATTGGTGGTGTCGATCTCTTTGAACAAAGATTCGATGTCAGTAGCAGAAAAAGAGTCGTTGTGTTTCAGAACAAATGCCATTTCCTCAAGAGATATTTTCTCGTCACCATTGGTGTCAAACACTTTAAATGCAGCTATCATTCTTTCTCTTTCTATGTCAATCGATACATAGTTAGTTTTCATGACGTTCAAATACTCTTCTGTGCTTATAAATCCGTCCTCTGCAGTAAGGATAGAAGCTTATGTACAGATAAACTTGCAAGATCAAAATCATGTCAAACGGTTAACTTTTTTCCAAAATATGTATAATTGTGAACTCAAATGTGTGAATAAGAAACAAAATTGAATATCTTTAGCAAATATTGTTTAGCAGTGTTTAAGGTTTTTAAACGACAAAGCTAACTTACCTTTATTATGATCAATAGATATTACTTAAAAAGAGAAAACAGGTATTGTAAAAAAAGAACGATAACCTTAGGAGAGAAACTCTGGTAGGTAAAATTAGAGAATGCAGTGTTTTAGTAGACCTTGCGATGTAGAAAAGAATGATAGGTCGGTGTTGTTGGAAGACGTGTATGAAATATATTTTATTAGAAAGCATTTAATAGCTTATATTCTCACTTTAATTCGTGGGGTTGGGTAGGGAGTTGTCAATGTTCGTAGGCAATCAAAAATTGCACTGGTTTGTTGGGACGTAATTTTGTAGATAACTTGTATATATAGAAGATTCAATGAAATGATACTACGAAAACAGTTATCATGCAAGAGGGCATTTTTACATTCAGTGTATTTTCTTCTTCATTAAAATCCATTGGAAATCTAAAACGTTCAATCACCCATGAAAACACTCTGAACTATGTCACAGTGCAAGAATACACAAAGAAGCGAAGCTCCATATATTTTCAGTAATTTGGAACACCATAATGTGTATTGTTTTTGCTCAATGGAATAGGAAAAAAACATTAAACTATTGTTATATTACTTAATTTACTTTCAAATTTATTTGTTCATTTTTTTTCTTCACAATATTCACTTGCGTATTTAACTTTCCCTGTCAAAATGGCTCCTCCATCTATTCCCCAAACCAGTTTTGAAGGGCGCTAGATTTATAATAAAGATGATTAAAGTTAAAATTTATAAAAAGAGACAATCAGTGAATTTAAATGTATGAGTAAGCAATGAATAATTATTTTGGATGTCGTCAGTCGTAGTGCTGCCAAATTAAATTCATCGGCAGGTAATTGCTGTTACACGACCGACGACATCCAAAAATAAAAATTATGTGAATTCATGAGAAAGGATGACCACCGAACATTGGTTCCCCATGATTAATAATGATTCGACAGATTCTAGATAAATTGTACTCACGATTGCTATCCGCCTCTGTCCACCATGCCTCTAACTCTCTCTTTGTTGGATTCAGACCAATCAGAAAAGCTGCGTCCCTCAACTCTTTCTTTGAGATCCGCCCGTCTTCGTTCGTGTCAATGATATGAAAAGTGTTCATTATTTCTGTCAAGATGAAAAGAAAAAAAAGATTAACGTTATTTTTTTTTTATTCTTTAATGAATGTAAACAAGCAAAAATGTAAGCAGCATAGTTCAAACAGACAGTCAGCTATACATTTATGTTTAAAGAAAATTAATCCAAACATGCTTTGAAAAAATATAAGGTATTTCGAATAACTGATCTTGACTACCAAATTGATTAATTATGAAATTTTAATCTTTGATTAATAATTGATATTATATATACATGATATATGTAAACATTTATTCAAAATGTCAATAAAAACTATCTTTCGTAAAAGATTCATAAGGAAGTAAATATTTATGTCACAATTTCTTGATTTCTCCGTGAGTTTTTCCTTGAATTATAATTTTTAAATTATAATCATATTCACAACCTTGTTTTTCTTATCTATTGTCATACATTTCGCTATCGTATATATAATGGTATAAAACATTTGAATTAATTTATGGACACGAGTAAAATTTCTTGGAATTGTCTTACTTTATAAGGACATTTATTCTGTATTTTAATATTGTATAAAATAGCCGAAACATAGGTACACTACGTACTTTTTTCTTCATTCTCTTTCACTTGTAGAAGATACCGGGAATGACATTTGACAAAAACTAATACATCGATAAATGTGTTGATTAGTATAGCAGGCAGTGTACATAACATACGTCACCTTGGAAACTTTCTTCGGACAAGTCCTTCGGCTTTTTCGGTTTTTTGAGACACGCAGAAAGGGATTCTTTCCTACGTGGCTTCCTTGTGGGACGAATTACTCCTACTAAATCTGAGCTTGATGCTTGCTTCTGCACAGTGCACATGTTTGTTCCTCTCCACTCAGTGTTCGAGTCGAACTTCCTTTTGGAAGTTGTTTCTGTGCTGGCCACTAACAGATTCTGTTTTACGTTAGAACCAGTTTATATGTATATATCTAGTTTAACGCCTCTATTATGTTGGAATAATATTTGTGTCAGATGTTAAATGAAGTGAATATAAAACCAATAGGATAGTGTATCAGTTTAGAAAAAAGAATCTTAATAAGGGTATTCAAGTTTTCACTACCCAAAACAAAAATCTGACAAACACGTCAGACTAAGTGGCGCAAGTGAAATTAGACCCTGGTCACTCTATTGAGTAGCTAGGATATTGGTCAGTCCCTGACAGATTAATTAGGATAACTATTGATCTTAAGATTAACTGACTTAATTTCTTCTATAAAATTAATGCTTTTATACTCAGGTTTTATCAAAATCTATTCTGACTTAAAAACCAAAGTGGATAAATAGTCTTTTAAGAATGATTTTATAAATGGGTGTTGAGCCTCCCACAGACCTTTAAAAGCAATTTATTTTCCCATGATAAATAAATCTTATATAATACGATTACCTGTGCATATTTACACGATGTGAACCATCTTAACATTTTCAGATTTTGTTGTCACAATTTTTTTTAGTAGTTGTATATATGATATATTTCTTATGTAATTATTTGAGTCTAAATTTAAAGAAAAAAAAAAGTCAAACAAACAAGCAAACAAAATTACAAGAAAAGCAGAACTGTAGGCTTCAACAGATTTAGCTTTTCCACCCAAAATCATCAATAATATATACTTACAAATAGAGCTTCTTTTTTTTCAAAAAGCTTTGCCATCTTTAGCAACAACTTTAAACGGTAAACTGACATTCACCTGTGGGGTCGTAATATATTTTTAGGACTGTAATTCTTGGCTTTATATTTCTTCAACAGCTTTTTACAGACATAAGCGAAGGAAAAAAAGAATAAACACACATTACAATGTTTGCATGCAGAAAAAGAACGTTTTTGTTAATCATGAACATATAGGAAAAAACTTAATAATAATTGCCATAAAGAATTTAAGTGTCTGTTTCATTTACTGCAATTTTCTTTTGTTCGTTTTTTTTTTATATTTTTAAGATTGAAAATCTTAAAATATTGTTAGAAAATTAGATCAACAGAAAATTATCTCCCTTGCATAGCATAACATTTCAACCAATGAAATAATTGAAAATTTTCACATCATGCATTTTCTACCAATCATAGAAGAAAAGAAGTGCATGGTGCGAAGACTATAAAATACTTCAACTCTGTATACCGTATTCCAATCAAGACGGTAATAAAGGTACAATCAAACCTTTTAGTTGGAAATTAACACCAACAAAATTGTTCTTGCAATCCTATTACATCCAAGACATGAAGACTCAGTAAAAGTAAAAAATAAAAAGCAAAAAACAAAATTTCAGAAATTAGTAATCTATCACTTTTTGCCCTAAATGAACACAACATGGTTTTTCACATTTCAATTGAAAATAATTAAAAGGTGACACTCCACAAATGTAAACAATACTTTAATCTGGAAAATCCGTCTAGAAAAATCCAAAGAGTTGTTTTCCTTTAGCATATAATCCTACGGGTAATTCACCGGTCAACAAAAGCAAACATTTCACTGAAAAATCGACGTGCATAGCTTTGAATCGACAAAATCTGAAATTAAAAAATAAAGTTACATCCAAATGAACTGTTTTATCATAACTACTACCGATTTATATAAAGTATGTAAATTTTATAACCCTTTTTTCACAATGAATGTTATAATTTAAGCTTTCTTATGTTTATAATTAAAATTTGTGAAATTATGACATATGGAGAGGTAATGTATCTGTGAAAAAAGTACATACAGTTTGATATGTAGAATCTAAATCTTTTTGAACTACCTTTGTAGACAATGAAGCCTTTCCCTGAGCTATCTGCTTCTGTAAACATTTTGTCCGCTTCCTCTTTCGTGATAGAACTATTGTTACAGGTTAATATATGAATAAAGTCTACTCTTTGAATACGCCCGTCTCCCTTCTTGTCAATAACTTTGAATGCAGCCTTGAGTCGCTCCTTTTCTATATCTAATGTGCTATAATTGGATTTCATCACGGCAACATACTCGTCAACGTCAATAAAACCATCATCTATTGCAAAAATGTTAACATGTATACAAAAGGAATGCATCAACTAAAACGCAAATTTAATGCATAGTAAGGATCTATTCAAAGAAACATGCTGAATGTATTTAGTGTTGCAACAGAGAGAGAGAGAGATCCTCTCTGACTTTATTGGTCTTCTAAGCTAATACCCATATATATAACACCCTAAATTCAGATAAGAGTAATGTACAACTTAAAACCCTTACGATATAACAGACATTCATATCAGGAACCATTAGTTTCACACCGTAATTATTCAACAGCACTCCCACTATCTGTATCTGCAACCTTTAACCACGCTGTGATATATTTGAACTAAAATACTGGTGTTTGCAACTTTCCATTACACTTTGATATACCTTTCAATACAACAGTGCTACTCACGATTGGTATCTGCAACCTTCCACCAAGCTCTAATATTCCTATCACTACTACAATACTACTCACGATTGGTGTCCGCAACCTTCCACCAAGCTCTGATATTCCTATCACTACTACGGTACTACTCACGATTGGTATCTGCAATCTTCCACCATGCTTTGATATCTTTATCCGTGGGATTCATTCCGATCAGAAAGGCGGCGTCTTTCAGCTCAAGTTTCGAGATCCTTCCGTCTTTATTAGCATCGATCAGGGTAAATGTGTACAAAATGTCTGAAACACACCAATTACATGATCATACATAATTCGTTTGATATGCAAATAAAAAAGGCAGAAGTGGATCATAACAATTTCTTAATAAAAGGACAGCAATACAACTTGCATTGACGGATTTTCAAAATCCTTTCACAAAGATAAGGTTGTTATATTTTGCATAATTTACTATAAGTATGTACATGTATAACTTAGTTCTGTGTTGAATACTAGTATCCTAATCTAATCATACAATAATAATATATACAGTAGTTAAATCCAAATCAAATAAAAAACAAAAAATCAAATGGATGTTATACTTGCAAACTGTTCATCCGATAGTTCTTTGGGCTTTTTGACTGTTCTTGCATAAGGAGTGGCACTTATTGTTAACCGTCTTCGTTGGCTTCGGTCATTCTGTTCATCGTCCGACATCTTATTATTATTCACCGAATTACCTTCACAAGTTATCGGAGACACATATACCAATAAGATCTTCACGTTAGTTCTTTTTTTCAGTGAAAAATGTTCTTTCTCACAAAGTTTCGAATCATAACGAGGATTCGCATTTCTACTGTTTATGAAAATAACACATTCCAGATATTCTGTTTTCTCTAATATCTTCGGTCAGAACTTTTTTCCTCGGAATCTTTACCTTGAGGTCAATCTTGAAATTAGAGATCAGGGAGACAAAATATTATTAACATTGAACAGACCTTACCATATAATCCTAATTAATACGTCTCTATATTTAACACGTTCTAGTGCTTATTAAGGGTTTAACAGGTGTTTTAAAGGAGTGAAGATTAAATATATATAAAAACACATGTTTAAATCATCCGTAGGTGCTTTTTTGTTTCTAATTAGGACATCAGTTTCATCCAGTTTTTTTACCACAAAATTTGTCAAATATTTTATAGATATCCTAAAATACATTGAACTCTCACTTTTTTCTTATGTTTTTTGGTAGAAAAAATTCAGCTGCCATCTACACTCACTAGTTTTGACATAATACGTATGATCATTTTTTGTGAGAAACAAGCATCGATGATTCTAATTAAATTTAATGTTTAAGGCATTTAAGGAGTTAAATTTTAGGATTGATTAAGGTGTTAATAGTGTTATTGAAATGTGGACTTTAAACGAGAATGTTAATACTTTTGTAACATCAACTTATTTGTCAGTATATAACCAGTCTCAATTAAGAAAGTGTTCGTACGCAGAACATGCTCTTCCGTATCATAGCACCTGGGATACATTTTGGCGATATTTCTATAAATCCGTGCGACGTGTTTGCAAGAGTTATCCACAAAAGGCCTGCACCTTCAGTGATCTGCGTGAAGCAGTAAATTATATAAGTTGTAATAAACAGTAAGAGGAGTAGCATTTTGAAAGATTTTTGCACAGATTCTTTTTTTAAGTGGCTATGGAAACGTTAATCAATAATCAATAAAATTATTAGCCTTTAAGTGCAATTGTCCACCAGGTTGTATTGAAATCAGACCAAAATCGTAGAAGCTGTAGCCTTTTGAAAGAATTTTTTACATAAACTATTGTAATACTGTCAACAAAAATTAAAAACAATTATGAAGCCATTGTGTACTAAGATCTAATATACCTGTATTTTGTTTTATTTATTTAATTATATATTTTGTTTATTTGTTTATTTATTTATTTTTATTATTTTATTATTTTTTTTCGAAATAAAAACAAATATGTTACAAAAATGGCATTTAGAAAGCATTCCACGTACATTTCTATTTTTAGCAATCATACCAATACCTTTCAAAACCGATAAAATGAATTAAGTGTCTTGTTGTAGTCACCTTCTACAGCAAATTATACTGATATCGAATAAAAACTGCAGGAGGAGTTCCAGTAGCATTTCGGGGGAAACATTATTACAGACAGGCAGATTAACGGATCCCTTTATATCGCATTTATTGACATGTACAAAAGCTTTTGTTGTTTTTGACCAGCAGAGCTAGAAACATACAAATAGCCTCTACCAATTCATTCAAGTTTTCAAAATATGTGTTACCGATGACACAATATTCAACATTTATTGCAAGGTATGACTAAAGAAGGACGAGCCTTTTTTTCGATATAGTGTGTATTTCTTTTTCTTAAAACTGGATAATGTTAAATATTTATATTATACATGTATTTTGCTTATAAAGTGTGTAGAAAGCTACAGCATTCAAAACACCGTAACACGGTGTGGGGGTCAAAAGGTTTAGGTATACGTTTTATTTTGACGTCACTAACGCTGAACGCCGTGGAATTGCAACGACATAATCAACTCACCAGTATTGCCATTCCGTGCTCAGTGATGTGTGTAGAGTTTAACAAATTGAATACATCTGGTGAAACGTAAACATTAATAATAACAGAGCCCGTGTCCTGTTTAAAAACACAGATGTTTTCCGTGATGTAAAGAAGAATATGTCGTTGTCATTGAATTCTAAGAATATTCATGTAAGTTCAATTCATTTCACTGGTTTCATTTTTTTTTAATAAGCATAGAAATTTAAAACGCAAACAATGCAACTGTACCAAGGTCCCTTTAAATACGATGTATATATATTACACATTGCAAATAATAATGCTTTGAAGTCTTGAAAATATGAAAAACTTGCCGTAAATGATAAAAAATATCAAAACGACGAACTGATTTACAAACTAAGAATGGATTATTGTGCGTTATAATTTTTTAAACAATGTTAAATTAAATACATATCAGATGTCAGGAGTGCAACACAATAATGTAACATAGGTTCACTTCAAAATTTAGTATTTTTTGTAAGAAAACTTGTATATCAAAATTCTTTTTGACTTAGACTTAAAGAATTGGCTTAAATGGACAAAAAAAGTGATTTTGGGGGAATTTTATTGTTCCATATTTCTTTCATAATAAAACTTTTCAAACCAGTATTGAAATTTAAAATAACGATCAAAAAACCACATATATACAAGAGAGGAAACTCAATCAAGGTTTAGATCTATCATTTATATCCCTAATGGCATTTTGAAGCATAAAAAACTATAATTTCTTTTTATTATGTATTTTAGATAGTCTTTTACGATGCAATGTTATTTTCATTTTTCAAATAAAGATTTACATATAAAAACTCTGAAACTTTTTATCCATTGTCTATTCTATTACAATTTCAGGAATTAGAATGTATCTACAATATGATGATTTAAGTGGAAAATATGTTATGGGTAGTTGAGTTTTTGTCAAAAAATTTGGTGGTCATTATTTTTTAATTCACCCATATGCCAAATTTCTCCGAAAGAAGTTCATTATAAATGAGAATATATACATTGCCTTAACCATGTAACCCAACGATTAAAATTATATGAAAATAAAAGATCTAAAATAGGTTATTTATACAGACCTGTAAATTATATTATGGTATATATATATATATATATATATATATATATATATATATATATATATATATATATATATATATATATATATATATATATATATATATATATATATATATATATATTCCTTATCGCTCATGCGTATTTGGAATGCAATATATTAGGATATCTTTTATGCAATAACATGCAAGGTAAAGATATATCACATTTACAATTTACTTCAAGTTTACATACGTTAAGATATAACATTAATAGAGTTTTTCTACAAAAACAAAACTAAAACTGTATTACAATTTTTAGATTAAACTTCACTTATTTATGGAATTCCATATACGACAGCCAACTATTTATACTTCCAACTGCTTAGACTGCTAACTGCCAACTGCTCACTGCCTAACTGCCACTGCGCATAGATGTTATTGCCTATTTTGGTATCTTTCATATCTTTAATACTCATGCTTGAATAAACCCTATGATAGCAAACATATTTCAATGATAACAAAAATTGGCGGATTCAGAAATTTTTAAACGGTGAAGGCGAGGAAGGAATAAATACGGGGAGGAGTATTTCTTCTTTTAAAAAATACAAAACATCTTATTCCCACATTTACTTACAGGAAAATAATTTAATAGCTTTTTTCTGACCGGGGAGAGATTAAAGGCGTATATTACGTCAGAATAAAAGTACTGAAAGTACTAAAGGACGGAGGCATGAATACGATAAATTTATATATTGCACAATTTCTTTATCTACAGTGATGTATAAACAATATGCTGTATCAGATGTAATTAAAGTTACTCACAAACTTTTATTTGCGTGCTAAACATATCCGTGCGACCTTCTTTTACTTGTGAATATTTCAAGCTGCAACTTTTTATTAAATTGCATCTTTACATAAGATGTCTTTTCAGACGCTAAAATTAATAGTCGCAATTTTTTGTTTGTTTGTTTGTTTTTGTTTCTTTTTTTTTTTTTTTTTTTTTTTTTGTTTTGTTTTGTTTTGTTTTGTTTTTTTTTTTTTTTGTTTATCAATGTCCCTTTCGAGAATTTTTTACTCATTTTAAAATTTAGACGCCACCACTTGCTGGTGGAGGGCTGCAAATTTAGACCTATATTCGGCACTCAGGGCCACTGGGAAGTGAGGGATCCTCTTCGTACCAGCATCTACTGTGACCTTGCTTTAGACGGTATCATCCGAACAACCAGTTTCCACCTCCCACAGTGGTATTTTAACCCGTGAATTAAGGATCAACTCATTGTTGTAGTGTAAAGTTAACGCTCTAACCACTGCGCCACTCGGGCGACTCGCAGAGAATTAAAAAAAAAAAAACGGTGAATCGCAAATACAGGTTGTTGAAAATAATAGGTAATTATTGAATTATTTGCCGGAATTAAATGTTTTGTTTTTAAAATGAAATACTGTAGATCACTAAATTTTTGCGACACCTTATTTTCGCGAGATAGTCATTGACTCTTTATTAGCGAGACATAATTTTCACGAATTGTTGTTATTCCTCTATATAATCTTAAGGAATACTATTATACGTAGTATAATATATAATGATATATATAATGACATTTCGCGAGCTCACTGTCTCGCGTAAGTACGCGAAAATAAAGTTCTCGCGAATAAAAAGTGATTTACAGTACTCCTTTCTCCGATTTACTCCTTCCTTGTCTTCACAATTTAAAAATTCCTAAATCCGCCAATTTTTGTTATTATTGTAAGAACTACGCACGCTAATACTCAATTCCCGCCTACATTTTACATCCATTTAATTCAACATAAATGGCAATTTGGCCATTAAAACTTGTTTGAATGCAAAGAAAAGTTCATTAGTAATGGATCAATAATTTAGAACCAGTGTCAAAAAGTTAATTGTATTTATTTACAAGTCCTTACATAAGGGGGAAGAAACTTTTATCAATTGAAATCAGGCTTTAAAACATCACCAGATTTTCAAATATTCATGGAAATGGATAAATGATTTTTAAATATCTCTGTATGTTTAACATAATATGTAAAATTCAACATATCAGATTGATAAAGTACATTATTTTTTATTTGTACTCATTTCAAAATGACTTTTTTTTTTTCATGTTTTTAGTCTGTAAACATATGAACATATGGGGGTTGAAATAAATTTCCGTTTTTCGATGATTTCTCTAGTGAAAAACACAAGTTGACTTGGAAGTAGTAGACAGAACAATACTATTGTTCGCCATTCTTTTCTTGCTATCATATGATTTTGTAAGATTTATTCAAGCATAAGTATTAAAAATATTAAGATAACAAAATGGGCAATATTATCTATAAACAGTGAACAGTTGGCAGTAAGCAGTGAGCAGTTGGCAGTAAGCAGTTGACTGTCGTATATGGAACTCCATACTTATTTTTTTTTCTTCTATATCACATCGTCTTATGAACGAACTCAATCAAGGAAATGAATGTGTTTCTTAGAAAAGAACATCATACATGTGGTTTGAGATGAAATCTGAAACAAAGAAATACTATTAGTATTTAAATCTCAATACTCAATAATAAAATATTAAAAGACTATGTAATAAATCATTGCCGAATGCAAATCTGACGACAGATCCCCTGATATCTGTTTTTGTATCCCTTCGTTATTTACCAAAATTATTTTTAACAATTATTATCTTGTGAATTCTGAACTGTTTTCAAAGTGGTAAAAATTATATAAAGACCACAAATTGTGATATCACCAAATGAGGTATTTCCAGTAGAAATATATAGAAAATACCATCCTCTAGAATCTTACACAAATGTCTGGTACAGGGTGTTTCACAATATACGTATGTTCCTTATTTAAATCTAATTATTTTTCTTACCTATCAGAATTCTATTGAAAAACATATAATTTTAAACATCAAATCCTGCATTTTTATTCCATATGAAAAAGTCAAGGAAATCATGGTATCACAATGATTAATTGTGACATAATAATTGTGATATAAACGCCGATGTCATAATTTGAATATTTTTCAAAATGAACTTATCAACATATTGCTGAACTGTGAGACTGTTTTTTTTCTTCAAAACTTTTCGCCAACATTCATTCAGAAGTTGATGAAGGAACTATTCCACAAGAATGGAAGCTTTTTAAGATGCTTATCAAAAGTCTAGTAACAAGGTTAAAGGACAGGTACGGGCAATATGCGATAAATAACACGGTACTCCAGAAAGCCTAGGGACTTCAATAATCGAACATTTATTTGGTGAAGTGTAGACTCTTAGATAGTCTAGCAAACTCCTGAGAAAAGTGTCAGATAGATGTTTTCAGAAATTGAAGTTGGCAATATCAGCATTTCCAGCATATATTGAACTTTGAAATATGATATGAAGTTATCAGCGTACAAAAAATTTTCAATAATGCAATACCGCAAGGAAAGAGTTTGATCTCTGCATTCGCCAATCTCAATCTTTGGGCCTTTTTCTTTGGGGGTTCTTTAGGGACAGGGTCTACAATCCTAGACCACAGATACTGAACGAGCTCAAAAGAAACAGTCTTATAGATGATTGCATCAAGTTGATAAAAACACTTGTCTTATCTTTTTCTTGTGTTTGTGAAATTGAAGATTCAAAATGTAACATATATTATGAAACACCCTGTACCTCAAATTTTTGCGATAAAGTTTGTGTCGAAGCAAAAATGTATGACAAGGTTAAACAAATTTCGAGAAGCATGCAACTTTCATTTGTAGTTGAAATAGTGGAGATCATTTAGAAGATGTAATGTGGGCTTTTGACATTGTGACATAAATGACGTAATTTCACTAATGTTCATACATGTATGAGATTTCGTTCAATGTGTAATATTTTAGTTGGTAATTGTACGTAATGAATCTTATAGATACATGCATCAAGTTGATAAAAACACTTGTCTTATCCTTTTCTTGTGTTTGTGAAATTGAAGATTCAAAATGTAACATATATCATGAAACACCCTGTACCTCAAATTTTTGCGATAAAATTTAAGTTAAAGTAGCAAAACTTCTTGGAAAACTATACTTATTGAAGAACAAGATATCTGATCGAAAATCTATCTGTTTGAAAATGGTGTATATATATATAGTGTACATTTTAAAAACAATATATAATACTTGTATATTTCTTGTGAAAGCAATAAATGATAAGCCTCAAGCATCTTCTTTCATAAAAACAAGGAGAAAGCCCACGAGTCTGAAGCAGTATTAAATCTAAATCAATACTTTTTTACCATTATAATTGAGATATCCTTTTCCATCGGAGTCGACTTCCTGGAATAACTTATCAGCTTCCTCCTGTGTAAACACATTATTGAACAACATAACAGTTCTGAATTCCTGCAGGGAGATTTTACCATCCCCATTCTTGTCTATCACTTTGAATGCAGTCTTCATTCTTTCTTGCTCAATGTCCACAGAAACATAATTATCCGACATGATGTTGATATACTCCTCCAAACTAACTAAGCCATCACCTAAATTCAATCAATTTCACATGAGGTTTGCATAAATATTATGCAACTAAAGATTGTTGCACATGAAATTTATTTATTGCAGAAATGGCTACACGCTTAATTTTGACCCATTGGCCCTAAAGGCAATCTTAGTTGGAATCTTCATCAGAAAAATCAAGGATGCAAAATTTAATATGATTATTCTATCCGAACCCAATAGTGGCAAACTCAATGCTAACAAAATCATTCCAACCCAAGTTATTGCAGGAAAATACAAAATCCATTTTTTTCAAAAATAGAAGTCATGGACTTTTTATCCAAAGATCCTAGAATTACCCGAGCTTTTTATCAGACTACAACATAGTATTAATACAAACTTTACACCCCAGAACTTTCTCAAACTATTGTATAGAATAGAAAAATCTATTTTGGGCAACAGAAGTTATGCCCTTCGTATGACCCAGTGATTTTAAAAGCATCGAATCTAAGCTCTTCATCAGATCAAACTATGGTGCTATAATGATCACCACATATAATCCAGTTTAGAGAAATCAATGTAAGTTTTAGCAACAGAAGTGTTTAGAACCAATTACCCCAAAAGCGATGCCAGACAAGCGCTTTATCAGTCCAATATGTGGTGCAAATATAGCATACATGTATACCTACAATTCCATCTCATATTATTACTCAGAAAACCAGTGTGGTTTACAGACATTTATATAAGTAAAGACGTACGGACAGGTATAAGAAAACTTATCTCCTTCCCTCAATTTTCAGAGGAGGAACATAAATATTGTTTGTGTACTTTATTTTAGGTTTGTGAACTGAATTATTACATCTTCCTACAAGGGATGATAATAAGTTTCATGTGAAATATTGTATCTTTGTATTACTCATACAAGTGATTATAATGTTTCAATTTTTTCAAAAATAGTCAGGGAGAGTACCGTTAGTATCTGCCGCTATAAACCAGTCCTCCAGCTCCTTGTCTGTGGGGTTCATCCCGGCTACTCTAGCGGCCTCCCTCATCTCCGCCCTAGACAGGCTGCCATCTTTGTTAGTGTCAATAACATCAAACGATGTTAATATTTCTAGTCAAAGATTAATAAGAAAGGCCTTTAAATAACAATATCAGGACTCCCGTTGTGATGCCTATAATACAGAATTATTGTCCTCTAACATTCTAACGAAAGCAAGATCAGGAATTAAACCAAAACATGGCTCACCTTTGAAGTCTGTTTCCGACATACCCTCAGGAATTTCCACTTTAGTGGACATCTTCTTTCTTCTACTGCTCATGATCACGCACTATTACGTTCAGTTATTCAATTAATTACTTTAGGATTTGAGAAAACCGTTTTCCTGATTCTGTCAGTACGTGTCACCTGAACTAGGTAAATCTAGGTCCGATTGAATTCCTCTCTAAATAATGGAATTTTACTTTCTCAATTAAGATACTTTTTCTTGAGTTACATAACCCGTATATTATCATTTCATTTAGTCAACACCTGCTCAAGAGGGATTCTAGCAATTGAATAAGTTCTTTTGTTACAGGATTCAATAACATTTGGCGAATTTAAACATGAACTCTTCGTGAAAAACATAAACTAATTAAAAGACAATATGCAGAGTATTAAATTTTTGAAGTACCGGAGTAGCGATACGTTCTGACGAAGTTAAGCAGCTTAGTATCTGCATTACAGGTATCATAGAGAGGACACGTGGAAATGCTAAACACAAATTTTTTCTGCATTTAATTACAAAGATAAAAGGTTACCCTAACGTAACAAATGTACAGTATATACATGAAGGTAATAGAAAAATGCTTATATCACAAAAATATCGCGAAGTTGGAACAATTTTGTTGAATCTTTGCGTAAAGAAGACCCAGAAGATGCCATCTATGTGAAATTTTAATTTTCTTTGGGTACTTGAGAATGCCAAACTCGATTCTGCATTACATCTATATCAAGACACCAGTTTCATCTTCAATAACCTAAGCATGCGATGTATAAGCTCTGCACCTTTCCAAGAAAATGAATTTATGTATTGACTTTTTAAAATCTCCAATATTTTGTGTATCATATAGCAATGTTATAATTTTAAATGTATCACCATGGACAAAATTTTTATTGCAAAGAAACAATTTATTTTATATTTATCTTCACAATTTACCTTAAACAAGCAAACATACAAATTCAAAAAACAAACAAACAAACAAACAATAATTCTCTATTAAGATTGGTATTTAATTCTTCATGTTTCCTACAAATCAAGTACATCTTTATGGATGAATTGTTTTACATAGTGAATTTTATATCTTTACGCAGTCATCGCACTGCTTATCCCAAGTAAGCAGATAGAATATCCTTGATATCAGATATTATAGTTCACTTTGTGGTAAATTCTGGACACTAAATCTAATGACGTAGAACCAGCTCATTGATGATAACGTCACTGGAAGACGACTGAGCAAATATGACTGTTGATAAAATCTAAAACACATTCATTAAAATATCTGTTAAAACTACCGATTCCTGGCACTAGTAATATGACTAGTATTTAAAGATATGTCTTCTGTTATTCTGCATAATATTAACTATGCTCTTGATGTTATTTTTCTAAAAACGATATAAAATTTGACGTGTATAGGCCTACATGTACATGTATATATCGAAATATCATACACGATCATGTAAATAATAAAAACGTTTCATGAATATTTTTTGACAATGAATATTCATGAATATTTATTGTTGGTATTGAAAACCTTGAGGGACCACACTTGACACCCAGAGATTATGTTCGTAATACTTGCCAAAGGTCCAACCTTTTTAGATAGTCATTGTCGAGTTCATATCGGTCTAATTTATTTCTGCAAACGATATTAATCCTTATAAAAATTGATTTACTATAGCTAACTATATTCAAAACAACCCATAGTTTACTTCAGTGCACTATAGTACATACTTTACATACATACTTTGATTTGGTATATATTTTTTTACCTACTTTGGTTGCAAATGATGCGAATAATAAATTTCTAAGTTATTAAGAAAATGGTGTTGAAATTTCTACCTCTCTGCAACCATCCTTATTACTCTATTCAAATTTTTGTCACTTATTATTATACTTTGAATGAAAAAATAAAATCTATTCGGTTAACCATATTCATTTTACTTACATAAACATGACCAAAGTTAATATTTTCAAAATTTTTGATAAAAGTTTGTTTTTATCATCTGTCCTTAAAGCCTTGAATGTCTCTTTAATAGCACATCAATAATGTACACAAAATGTGTAAATTTAGGAAAGAATAAATATGTAAACATACAAATATTCCATTTTGATATGAAAAATTTGTAAGATTTGGAGAAAATAAAATACAATTTGAAATTCATGCTAAAAATACTTTGATTAACTGTATTAAAATATTTAATACATGCACTATAATAAACTATAGTTAACTACAGTGGGTTTTTTTTTAAAGGGCAACTCCTGCTCACAGATTTTGCTAATCCCGTGAATTAACGGATATTGTCATTGCAAGTTGCAAAACTCTATTTAAAATAACTTACCTTCATAATTCAAATACCCTTTTCCATCGGAATCTACTTCATTGAAGAGTTCCTCTACTTTCTTTTTAGTCATTTCATTGTTATTATACATCATGACAGCCTGGAATTCACTCAATGAGATTCGGCCGTCCCCGTTCCTGTCCAGAAGGTTAAAAGCCGCCTTCATTCTTTCCTTCTCCAGGTCAATAGACACATAATTTGCTGACATGATTTTGACATATTCTTCCAGGGATATAAATCCATCACCTACAAACACGAAGAGATTATCATTTATTGAAATACAGATGTATACTTTGTTCTAAAACATAACGTCCATAGATTTTAAGATTTTATTTATGTATTTTTTTAGCCGCTAATTTCTTGTCTAGGTGTCTAATTTCTCTACAACATGCGGGACTGATTAAAATTCTTTTTTAATAATACATAGAACTTCAAAGTTTATTCCAGAAATCTCTGCAATGTTATACCGAAAATATTTCAATACTTTAGTAACTTAAAGTAAAATGAAAATACGCAGAAAAATACGGTCTATAATTTCGCAGATATTTGACGATTTGACGTTAGTAAAAAAAAAGGGGGGGGGCTAAAGAAAATACATTTACATGTTATCATTTATTTTGTATTTGTCAAGATACATGTGCATTATACGAGGATATGTATAACAAAGTTCTCAGGAGTAAACCTTGTATAATCAAGTGTTTGAATTAATGAAATTTTTGTATAGAGTGAAACTATTTCTATTAATTTTTTTCATACCAGAATGTGTTTCTAAAAAGTCATTCTCTCGCATAGTTTTACTTTTATATATGGCTTAATCTACAGGGGATACCAAACTGCATTTAATCAGATCAACTTTCCTGTTTTCACGGAGATCTGAGGTTTTTCAGAAACGTCATAAATATAACTAAGAAGGGAAAATTTTCCCAAGCACTTCTCCCTATCGACATATACGCGAAGTTACGGATATGTGTTGAGGATTTAAATGTTAACTGACCGTCTATATCCGCCCTGGCCCACCAGTCTTCGAGCTCTTTAGACGTGGGATTCATTCCCACAATAAACGCTGCCTCATTCATTTCCTTTCTAGATAGTCTGCCATCTTGGTTTGCGTCGATAATGAAAAATGAAGTAACTATTTCTGTCAAATAGAAATCGAGAGTGCAAATAATCCTGACCTTCACAGTGGAAATTTTTCTTGTGTAGTCGATATTTTTGTAAGGGAATAAGGGGAAACTGTTCATTCTAAAATAAAATAGATGTGTTAATTGGTGAAACACTGATGCTCCGGTATGGCAGCTCAATGCCAAGGTTAAAATTTTTCTAATGTAGGTCAAAAACCAAGATCAAGAGTTCAAAAATGTTGATACTCAAAGGTTTTGCATCCTCGCAATGCCAGGGGTCCTGAGTCAACACGATTCCATGGGATCCCTGTCCAAAATTTTTTGGGAGCTTGCTTCTCTCATTGGGAAGCATCAATTAAATTTAAGCTTTCATTAATAGTTAGATAATGTAAACAGAAAGGATTAAGTTGACACCTCAAACGCACGTGTTACAAGTTGTTTATCACAGAACGGCTTTATATGATTGATTAAGAGATAAGAAAAACAATTAAGATTTGTAATTTTTCCGAAAGACGTTGCTACAATCAGTCCATGAAAAATTGAATGAAATTTGCAGGGATCCAACGGCAACGTGTTGACTCAGGACCCCTAGCATTGCAAGGATGAAGGTTTTGTCACAAGGAATACATGTGAAACATGAAAGCCCTAGCACCGACCATTCAGAATATAACAGAGGTTAATGTTTTTCAAACGTAGGGCATAATCCAAGGCCAAGGTCATTAGGTCAAAAAAATTGGTGCGAAAGGAAAGGTCTAGTCACAAGGAATACAAAGTTGTAATATGAAAGCCGTAGCACCAACCGTTCAAAAGTTATAGAAAAGGTTAAAGTTTTTTACAATTGTAGGTCAAACTCAAAGGTCAAAAATGTTGGTACCCGGGGAAAGGTCTTCTCAAAAGGAATACACGTTTTATATGAAAGCCCTAGCACCAACCAAACAAAAGATATGGGCAATGTTAAAGATTTTAATAATAAGGTCAAAATCCAAGGTCAATAGGTAAAAATGTTGATATCAGAAGAAAGGTTTGGTCAAATACACGTGAAATATAAAAGCCCTAGCACCAACCGTTCAAAAGGTATGGACAAGGACAAAGTATGGTAATTTTTTGCAAAAGTAGGTCAAACTCCAAGGTCTAAGTCAAAAGGTCAAATATATCTGTACCCAAAGAGAGGGCTTGTCATAAAGAATATCGTGTGAAATATGAAAACCTTAGCACCAACCATTCAAAAGTTATGGGCAAGGTTAATGTTTTTGCGGACAAACAGATTAGCAGACAAACGGATAGACGGACCAAAAACTTTATGCGCCCCAATCTTCGATTACGAGGGCATAAATATTGGACCGGGGATATGTCTATTTTTCATAATGTACCTTTTCAGAATGAGTTCTAAACTGGTTGAATCTGTATCCAATATTTAAATTCTCCTTCAGGGAGCCCAATGTTTTGATACCTGTTTAATACGATAATCTTCATTGGTTATAATTTGGTTATAATTAAATTGGTAATAGGTCCCAAAGTTGTGGTACCGATCCATTATTGAAACTGGTTTCCTTCAAGGAACCCTCATGCAATTTAAGTTGCTATCAAATCAAAAAAAAAAAAAGAGACTGCAATCGGTGTCCTTCGAGGAACCCCATTTGTCTCTTTAATTGGACAGTTATTCATTGTACTCCGTTAAATCCCATTCATCTATCATCTGTCACATAACCTTTAACCTTGGTTATAGCTTTTGAATGAGAAAAAATATGGCTTTCATATTTCACAAGTTCATTACCTGTGACAAGGCCTTTCCAAATATTGCTATGACTTTTGACCCTGTGACCTTGACCTTTAAGTAAACATTACGTTTACCATGGACATAACTTTCTGAATGAGAAGAAATGGGGCTTTTTTCCACATATACATACACATTACCTGTGACAAGACCTTTCAAAATTAAAAAAAAAATAATTTTTTGACCCCTGACCTTGAAGTTTGACCTACTTTTCCAAAATTTCAAAATTAGATATAATTTCTGAAGGAAAAAAGATAGGGTATTCCTTGTTGACATGTGAATAACCTGTGACAAGAAGTTTTCAAATATATTATGACTTTAACCCCATGACTTTGACCTTGAAGCTAACCATATTTTCAATTTTTAGCATTGCTGATAACTTTTGAATGAGAGAAGATACGGCATGCTTTTATCTGTTTCAAGACCTTTCCGACTGCACTCTGATTTTTGACATCTTGACCTTGACCTTAAGGTTCAGACTTTTTCATTTTTATGCCCCTGTAATATGTATGGGTAAGGTATATAGTTTTTGTTCTGTCCGTTCGTCTGTCTGTCTGTTTGTCTCTTTGTCCTCAAAAACTTTAACATTACCCATAACTTTTGATTGGTTAGAGCTATACCTTGGAGGGAAACATTATCCTTCGCCCTAAGCTGCCATACAGGGAGCCAGTGTTTCACAAACACATCTTGTTTTACTTTGGTAATAACTTTTGAATAAGGGAAGAAAGGGCTTTCATATTTTACATGTACATTACCTATGCTAACATCTTTCAAAAAAATATCAGCTTTGAGAAGTTAATCTTTGCCATGACTTTTATTAATTCAATAATTAATATTTCTTTTGTATGATGGATAGACAAGACAGGACCAGAAAACATGACAGTTACAACTGCATCACAACCACTAAGACACCAAAAGCGGGAGACCACAACTCCTTGAATTTGTTTGTTCATGTAATTCATTGAATCAGCCATCGTGGAATCACGGACTAATAGAAATTTTTTTTAAAACAAAATGCCTAAAGAAATCTAGCTGAAAAACCATTCAATGATACCAAATAAGTGATTAAAGATATTTTAGAAATGGAGAATGTAGAGGCATATCTCGAATTGAAGACATTTCAGACTTGAAGTCTCAGGAAATCAAAAACAGTTATTCATAAGGTTAATCCGACATTGGCCGAATTTCAAAACATCTCAAAGATTTGGACATCTAACAACCTTGTTCAAAGTACCAAGTGATTGAGCCCGGAAATCAAATCGATTTTATTTATTTATTGCATCGTGTATGTTTTAAATTTTCTCTCCATTTCTGTTTCGTTATACATTATAGGTTATAGGTTATAGTCCAATATTTGGTAAAATATTGGACTGTGAAAATCGAAATATTGGACTGATATGGTCAAATATTCGACTGATATATAGTTAGTTATCGCATTTCCTTAACATACGAGGGTTGTCCCAAAATTCCGTAGACTGGGCTCATAAAGAAAGTCATATAACATTTTCTTGGTGGATAAAGTGTGTTGTTGGCTGATAAATTACGAAGTTTTAACGTATTTTACGTGAAAACTATTCGAGTACTAAGAATCGTAGTGTTATCGTTCCCTAACACCCGGAGCAATCTCCGATGTCAACCAAAATGAACGTCACCATTCAGATTTTGGGGAAGAAATACACTTATTACAAAGATAAAATTCTTTATTCACCATTAAAGGTGCTTAGACACAGATTTGAACTTAATATTTTCTCAAATTTTCTGTATAATATCACGACTTATATATTGCAATAGCATTTCACACGAAAATATAATTAAAAAAGTATTTTATCTGGAAATTATTGGAACTACGAATTCCGGGACGCATTTGATTAACACTCCCTTGCACTTACACAAATTTTAACTTTATCCTTAATATTCAAGAAACGAAGCGATTTTGTTATGTATTAATGAAAAATAATATACAGAAAAGTACCACATACCACTGAGCACGGACTCACAATACTGTGAGTGGGTTTTGCTTTCGAACATTTCTATTCTGAATTTTCTGGGTTATAGTTTAATGCCCTGTTCACACGGAGAGTTTAATTCGAATTAAACGTAAGTTACTGCGAATTAAATTTGATCCGCGTTCACACGGAGAATTTAATGCGAATTAGTTTAATTCGAATTAGTTTACTGCGCATTAAATAACTTCGCATTAGCTCCGTGTGAACGCTAAGCGAAGCTAATTCGAATTAAATTTTGACGCATGCGTAAGGGCAGAATTAAGTCACAGGCCACATGTCAATGGTCAAATATAGGTACTTGTGCCAATTTTGAGTGGAAATCAAAGGAAAATTGTGTTAATCACTAAAATGTGTACAGACACTATGACATTACGTCAAATGTATATCTATTCTGCACAATATGACGTGATTTGTAAATGACGTCATAATAGCCTCACTGAATAGACTTGTTGTAGAAATTAAATTATAATTCGCATTAGTTTACTTCGCATTAGCTGTCGTGTGAACGCATTTTAATTCGCATTAGTTTAATTCGCATCATTTTACTTCGCATTAATTTACTGCGAATTAAACTCTCCGTGTGAACAGGGCATTAATATTTTTTATTAGTACACAACAAAAGTGTCACTTTTCTGAAGTATTAAGAATAAAATTAAAATATGTGAAAACGCAAGGATGTGTCAATCCAACGCGTCCAGAAATTCGAAGTTTTAATAACTTCGAGATGAAATAAGATTTTTATTATATTTTAGTATGAAATGCTATAGCAATATATAAGTCATGAAATTATACAGAAAATTTGAGAATTAAATTATTAACTTCAAATCTGTGTCCAAGCACCTTTAAGATTATAGATACAATTATGAAATATCTTAATTATTATGATATGATTTAACATTAAAATATATGAACAATGTATGTACATGCACAGTATCAAAATAATATTTTGAAAAACTCTTTGTTTATATGGGTTTTTCGTCTGTCTTCTCTAATGGAGTGTCACTCTTGCCAGATTACTCAGCCGATCTCCTTTCTTTTTAGTTTTACTTCTTCACATACTAAGAAAAACTGTTTTATGCATTTTCATTTACCGAGGACCAAAAAACAATTCCATTTGTATCAAACATTTATGACATATGCGTTTCTGTAGGAGTGAATTCATAACGGAATATCTGATCACAGTCCAGTGCGCAGCCTGTTTCAACGCAGCCGCCATTTTTCAACACGTCAGATTTCAAACCGGTGAATATTAAACGTTATAAAAATAAAAATATTCGTTAAAGCATTTACAACAAAATTTGGGGAAAGGTAGTTAACAATAAAATATTAAAATTTTTCAT